ATCTTAATAATATATCTAACCTCTCTTATACTTATGAAATGGACACTAGTAAAACATTTTTAAACTGAATTAGCTTTTTAAAAAACGTTATTTAATTATTTTTTTTAAGTTGGTAGTTTTCGCATAATTAGCGCTTGAAATTTACGCAAATTTCTTTTTTAAAAAATCGCTCTGAATTTGTTCATTAAATTGTTTCCACTTATGTAATAAGGGACAGTAAAAAAATATAGTGTTAGTCCCACTCGGGTGGCGCTCAGTTTTTTGAAAATTGCAGGAAATAAATTTCATCACTACAAAATTGAAGATAGAGATTTTTGTATCAGACTATGTTGTTCAGAATTAACTTTTTAAAAAGATCATGCACAAAAATAAAAGTACATAAAATTAAAAACTTAATCATAGGCGGACTTATGAATTATTATGTTGAAAAAATTGACAGTAAGCCTTTAATTAACATCGTTTTTCATTTGTCTATTCACTAACAATAATGTTCAGTGAAAATGATAAGCTCCGAATCTTTTAAAGATATTATTTCTGATTTTGTGACAGTAAGGGGGGGGGGAAGGTAAATATTTTTGCTTAAGAGGTCAAAAAAAAACGTAAATATGACGCTGTTTCTAGCCCAGATTATTAATGAGGGGGGGAGGAAGAAAAAAATTCAGGAACAAATTTAAAAAGTGACTCGGAAATAGAGAATCGCCCAGATAATTGTGGAGTTCTGAGAAAAAATTAGTGTTGGGATTTCTATGGAAAAATATGTTTTGGGGCTCCCTGATTCTGAGGCTTTCTCTTTTTTCGAAACATATGACCATCTGTGAACAACATTAGCATCTCATTATAATAAAGAATTTTCTGAAAACTTGATATTCGACAATCGATCAGCCAATGTCACAGCAACTGGTATTTGAAGGAGATTATTTAAACTTAATACAAAACTCCTATGACATTTTCAAACTTTTACAAAAATGGCTTCACATTTTCAAAAAAATTATTTTGTTAATTGCAAAGTTCTTGGAAAGTTTTGGAAAATGTCCTGTACTTTCAATATTGAAGCTAGTGATTTTTTTGTTAATGCTAGATATTCTTCTCATTACAGTGCACAATTTTGGAAAAAGGTGTGTGTGTGTGGTTTTTTTTTTTTTGTTTTTGGAGCCAGTTCTGCACCTTCAATATTAAAACTAGAATATTTGACTTACACTCTTGTCAGAAAAGTAGATTTTGCATAATTGTGAGTTACATGTTGTTTAAGTTGACCGTGCAATTGCCCAGGTCCTGCAAGTCAGGGGCCCGATGATGGGACTAATGAGAAAAAAGTTAGTATGATATTAAATAAAATTTTCCAATTTAATTTTTACCTTAAATATTTAATTATTGTCATTATATAAGGTAGGGCTCTAAGTAATGGATCAAATGATGCTAACATGAAAACAGGTTCTTCTGAAATTCATATTATTATTTCTTGTGTTTAACAAGTGATTTTTGTAAACATTAACACAATTGATTTCAGTGTTTTAAGATCACAGTGGAAATCGTATTATTTGATCACTAAATACTTTTACTTAACTATTTAAAATATATTTCCAAAAACTTTTCCTAGCTTGAACTTAATTTTGGTTATTTCTTGAAATAAAGTTTCTTGATACAACTATCTCCTTTTTAATTTTTTTTTTTTTTTGGATATGGGGGTGTTACGTTTCAACATTGCCAAAATTGTCTAGTTCCGGAACTGGCAGAAGTGGTAATAACTAACTTTAAATGCATTTCTATGAGAATTGTTATTATTTTGTTGGGGGCAATTCTCTGGGGAAACTCTTTACCCCCGTTAAAATATTTTTCCTGATACACAAAAAATCAAGCCAAAGTGGCTGAAGCAGGAAAATTTGTTAGATATCATTAGATGGTGATATTAAACCATTAAAGGTAAATCAAAAAAAGCTCAGAAACATTAGTATAAATGAATTATCTTTTGGACATGGATAGTTTTGCTATTTAATGATGGGATAAGACATATTTTGATGACTTAACTTATTATATAATATGAAAAAATGGATGAATAATAATATTAATTGTTGTTTTATGCTATAAATTAATGGTCAGACAGAACATTGTTCTACAAAAGAATTTGCAGCAGCTTAGTTCTTTATTTGAAGTTCAAACACTAAATAAAATATGCAAACATTTTCTAAATTTTGCTCACATCCTTCAGTTTGATATAATATTAACTCATGTCTTCATAATTTTTGTCAATCCTTGAACACCGAAGGTGGGTCTTTCGGACCAACGGCAGTACATTGATAGCATTTTTAGTCATTTATATTGTGATATTGAAAATACCGCGTTTTGTATTCCTCTTGTCATGGTGGACGTGTAATTTATATCATTTTATAACTATATATTTTTTTTTTTTTTCAAAGTACAAATAGCTTTATCTGAATTTATACCTTAACACGCATGGTGGGTCCATCATGCCCAAAGTGTCTTTTGAGTTTTTAACAACTATGTCGGACACCATCTGTGTTTAGATGATGACCTTAATTTATTACAGTTACAATGTTTTTTATTACATTTCACTTGATATCGTTCTGAAATTTTTAGGTTTATATTAGTTTTCTTTCAAAATATGGTAGTACGTAAATATACTGTTTATGTCAATTTAATAGTAATAATAATAATATGAGAACAATACATATCAATTCTGTTAGCAACTACATAAAATTTAACAATATTAGTACATTCTATATTTAAAACTGGAAATGGTGACGATACAAGTTTTGACCAGTTTTTTTCCTTTTCTTTCAATTTGTACACATAGTCCTACTGCAGCACCTAATGTGTATAGCGAATCGAGAAAGAAACAGAATTGTTTTTCTCTCGCTATGCCAGTTCTTTTTTGTTTGCTCTACCTCTTATGAGGTGATAGAAACTCCAGAGTAAGCTTTTGGTTTATATTTTCGCAAGAAATATTGGACAAAATCGTTCGTTACACACATTTGGAAAAATAAAATTTACAAGTACAAAAATTTGCCGAGCGCACGGCAACAGTATGTCATCATTGAAATTGAGGCATTTATTGCTGACACCAGGACTTTGAATATGAACAATACGAGTGTTGGGGTTTTGTATAGTAACAAATACGGCCCAACAATAAAGCAATAAAGAGTTGAAAAAAGTTCTAAGATCTGTTACTCTTCGTGCGTCTTGATAAGTAAACGAGAAGTGCTCATAGGGCAAAAAATAAGTTCGCTGCTTTTCGTGAAATATGGGAACTCGTTAGTAACAGCCTCGTCAGGGTAAAATCTGACTGCGGAGAACAGCTCACACCTTTTTGAGGACGCTGTAAGGTTCGCAAATATATGAAATTAAATAAATATGGCATAAAATAATTTTGGATATGTGACTCCAAAATCTTCATGCTTTTGAAACGAGATGCTTAGGTAAAGAAGCAAATGTGAAAGGTACTTTTTTTCTTCTTCTGATTTTCGTGGTAACCATCTCCACTATTATAACTGTTGATAATATTTTCACTTCAAAAGATTTAGCTGATCCCTTGTTTTCCAACAACATGAATGTTATAAATGGTCTAACATTGGTTGGTACAGTACACCAAAACAAATAATTTATTCCAAGGAAATTTTAACTCGGCAACAGCAGAGAATTTCAAAGCTCCCTTTTTGGTTTTGCGAGAGACCATTATCTAGTATTGTATCAAAGGCCAAAAAAAAATTGAATAATTGTCTTATGTGATGCACTACCTTCAACAATGCACCACACACATTGTTATCAAAGAAAAACGAAAGACAAGTAATATTGCACTACTACAGCACAAATGGGTTGTGGACACACTTGATCAAATGGTTCAAACTCACAGCTGCAAAAGGAAAACATGGAGATGTATATTGGCTCTTTTTATGAATTCTATTGATAGTATATAGTTTGGTGAAAAAGTAGTAGTTTTTTCAGCATTTTTGCTATTTTTAGCAAAGCACCCTGAATGGAATATTTAGCAAGTAGAAAATGGAGTAACAAAATTTTCTTACAACCTTGTCAAAACTTATTGTGCCACAAATAGAAAAAAAGGTTGAAGCAAGGACTCCATAAGACCATTATTCAATGTTAAGCTTTCTCCCTTAGGAAACCCAAAGCATCTCCAACTCTGATATGGAACCAACATAAAAGAAAAGTTTTTTTTTATGTAATCCACGACTTTGTAGAAAGCATAAAGCTGTGCATGTAAATGTTAAAAGTCTGTAATTACACAAAGGTAATAAGTAAATTGTTAAATGTTCAGAAAAGTTAGAATACTTGTAAGAATCTATCATGCATTGTGAAAAATGTGTGGGTCCGCAAGACTCCCTTTGGGTGTACACGTATGTAGAAAAGGTTGGGTGTTAATAGAAGTTTTTGTAGTTTTGCTATTTATTTAAGTTGAATTTGTTAGATTTTGAATTTAATAATGTTTTCACCATATTATTCTTTTTGTTGTAATTATAATGTCTAATTTGTGGACTTACCACTGGAGATGCCTGGGATGGATACGGAAGGTATTTGGAAGAGGGAGGGTATACATTTTACTTCATGATAAATATTTTTTCTTTGTTAGCTTGAAATAAAAAATGTGTAGTTATTATGTGAATACACTTAGATATCACGTGATAAATATGACATCATTTTTTTTATCAAAATGAGTATAATTATATAAAAAATGTTGGCTTTGGTTGAGGGGAGGCTATTGCCCCTTTGTTCTCCCCTAGAGAGAGATGCACAGCACAAAGGATTAGGATTAAATGATCAAAATTCGTTTAGTTTACAAATTTATTAGTTATATCTATACAAATGCTCTAAAATACAAATAATATGAACAATAGTAGAATTTTGGAGCAAAATACATAATCTCAATCTCAGCATAAACCACAGATATTTCTTTTGTAATAATTCTGAAATAAATTCATGACTCAATTTTGAGGCTGGATATTGAAATAACTCCCAGTATTTTGGGTCAGGAATATATGTACAGAATGTAAATAGTCAAAAAGGCATGCTGTACAGTGATCTTCCATGCACATGATAAGTGTGAAACATTTTGATAGTGCTAAGTTATAAACTGTTACTGTAAGCAAACTTTTGATAGTATTATCAGTTCACTTCGCTGGGATTCCCCGTTAAAGAGTGATTGTTTAACACGATTTTTCCTTTTCTGATCTGCCTATGTTTTTAGACAAACACAGGTAGTGAACACAAAAATGAGTATAATACATTTGTGTTCACAGAACACATATTTATGCTATAATGCACACACAATGAGGAAAATTACCTCATTCTTCCTAAGTATTCCATATTAGTAAAATGTTTGAAGATCATTAACTACAATAGTTCAATCAGTCTTTCAGACATATTGTTTACATTAAGTCCTTATTGGGTGTCCAACACATGACTTCATAAAACAAATTCTTCAAGAATTGGGCTTCTTGAGTGTTTCATGTTTGCATTGTTCCATCATAATTGTATTATTAGATCATAAATTTATTACAAGCTCACAGAGATTAGGGTGAAGATGTTTCACCTCCTGTATATGATTTACCTTGGAAGATTAACCTTGAAGAACAAGATTTAATAAAATATTGAAAATGCTGAAAATGAAGCATTATTAAGTACTCAGTACAGCATAATGGCACCGTTTGATTTTTCTTCAATCATTGGTTGTGGAGTTTTCTTCTGGCGCCCCTCACTTGTGCCAATGTATATTATAACTAAGCTTACAAAGCTTGCTATTGTAGCTCCAACCACAAACCTGCAAGGAATCGTGCACAATGAAATTGTCTTCTCAGTTTGACAATTGTTAGGATTGATGGAAAGAAATATCTTTTCCTGATAATGCAAATTTTTCTTTTCTACGTTTTGTCATAGAAAGTTTATTAGTATGCAACATAATGATTTTTACTTTTTTGTGTTTCAATTATCATGGAAAATTTAAAAAATGCTTTTTTAATGGGAGTTCAAGTAGAAGAAACATGAAATTAGGTAATTTTGTTAGGTATTAATGTAATTTTTACTTTTCCTTCAAAAAGGTGGATTTGAAACTTATAAGAGAAATGTTTTCTTACCAAAAGGAGTATCCAAATTTGGCCATGTCAGTAGATGACCACATATTTCGCTGGTCTTCCATACTCATTACATTGTACTGAAGCTTTTGATAGAACTGTGTTATCCACAAACTAACAGCTGCCAAATTAAAAAATACTGGAAAAAAGTATTGGAATGTCAGATACACAAAACACAATCATTCAAAACAATAAGTTAAATTATAATTAAAATTGAATTTGTTATGTAAACAACAATTAGCAACTGGAATTGGTCTTCCAAACATTTTTACCCATTATTCTCTCAAATTTTGCTCTTGATTAACACATCTGAATCTATATATCACTGACGTCATTAAATTGATACTTCAAATAATCATAAAATGTATGATATCTTTAATATTGATGTTATGCCATAGCCCGCTAGTATGCTTTTAAAGGGCTACTATGGTACGTATTATTTAATTGTGAACTGGTGTCTCACTCTTCCTCTTCATTTTCTGGGCATCACAACTAAATTGTAAAAAACATCCTCTTTGGTGAAGAAAATTTAGGCAATTTGTGGGCAGTTGTACTTGGTGAAAAGTATATACAATTTCTGACACAGAAATGTTTTACACAGTGTTTCTAGCTAATGAAAATAATAGCAAACCAAACTGTACATTTTGTTTAAGTTAAATAACTAATGTAAAGATGTGACCTTTCATATTTTTTGAGAGAATTTTTTATATTTTCACGAATAACTGGTATGAGGTAAAACAAATAAATATTAATCCCTGATGCAGTAAGTCCTGCTATTTATATTTAGAATCGAGAAGGAATGAAATTTAGTAATTAAATAATTTAATTATTGTGTTTCATTTATTCTCATTATTTGCAGTTTTTCAGAACTCTTGTATTTCTAAATCTGTTAGAAATTCCAATACATAATTAATATGTAAGTTATTTTGACATTTGGATTGAAATATGGAGGGGTTTATTTTGTTTTAACCTTTTGATTCATAATGAAACAATTCGGGTAAATTATAGAAGAAAATTGAGTATGACATTTTGGTTGATTATTAGAAACCCTTGGAGTATGCAAGTATATAAAAAAAAAAAGAAGAAAATGTTTTTGAACTAAAGTATAATGCTGTTTTGTTTGTATTAGGGTTCTGTATTCTTTGGGGTATTAAAAGACTTGCTGCTCATCTTTACCCCCCCCCTTTTTTTTTTGTTCTTCTTCTAAAACATGTCAATAAACATTTACTTTATGCTAATGAAACATATTTACACAGTATATTTTTTTAAAGGTTTGACTTAAAATTCTTGGCATTATCCTCCTTGTTTAGTATTTTTACTTCATATCATGTTATCCAACTGTAAAAAACTTGAATAATTTGTTCAATGTGCTATTATCGAGTTTTAAAGAGGAAAAGCGGTCTTATTTAAAAATTCTCTGCATAAAATTTCAAACTTACAAGTAAAAAAGTTCCACAGGTACAATCCAGGAACACCGGTAAGTGATCCACTAGGTGTGGTAGCTGTATTTATTACAGCGAATATAGCAGCCAATGCTGCAAACAGTACTCCTGCACAAAGGGAGCCTATTGTTGCCACCCAGACTCCATAGATAAGAAATTCTCGATCTGTATGCAGCAGTTCCAGCACTGCAATCAAAATTAAAACACTGATTATTTTAATGTAGTGATAAAAGAAAATTCAATGAAAGGAAATTCAGGAAACTAAGGAATAATAAACCATCTTTTAAAATGAAATAACATGATAAAGGAAAAATGTTACAGAACTTTGAATTTACTTAATAGGTTGAGCTTAACTTTTATTTTGGGGTCATCCATAAATTACCCAACACTAAGAGAGGTGGAGAGGGTTTGATGCAGCCTTACACTGTGTTACATGGGGGGGCAGGAGGGTATTCGATTAGTGTTATATAACATTACTATTTTTTAACCTTTTTTGAAATACTTTTCTTTAGTCTTATACTAAAACAATAAAATATTATCTAATTAATTTGTTTTAAAACATAAATAACTTCAAGTTATTTAAAATTGTTACAATAAGTGGAAATGTTTGTTTATCAATTTTTATTGTATCTGTATGATTATGAAGAAAATATTCAAAACTGATCTGTAGTATTTTGTTGAATAAATTTAAATTGGCACAGTAGATTCTTGCCCCTGCACCATCCAAAATGGCACATGATCAGAAATTTTCTCGCCTGTGCGTCCTTCCTTCACTCAAAATTTGCCCTAAATTTTATTATTAGGAGCAATCAGCATTGACAACTAATTTTGACTTTATTTATCATAAATTTTAGTACACACACACACACACACAAAAAAGATTACAATTATTTTACTGAGCTTTAATGTAAATTCACGTATTGCATTTATGAGTGGGGTGTCACAAGTGTTACATAATTATTTAGGGGGATTCAAGCGCACATTATAGGGGAAGGGGGTATTCAAAATAATCCAAATTAATGTTATGTAATTTATGGACAGCCCCATTTCTTATATAGAGAGAGAAAGTAGGAAAGTATGTAATACTAGAAAGAAGAAGAAAAGATTTTAACTGATTTACGTTTTGGGGGTCGCTGATGAGATTTGTGATAAAGTGAAAGTGATATTCCTGAAATTATATTCCTTGCTTAATCAACCTAGTGAACCTCTAGAATTTGACTTTTTAATTTTGTGGAAAGCTTTACATGAAGCCCCTTCGATGAAGTCTTCTCAAAAAAGCTGAAATATTTTTAAAAATATTTTGTAATGCAAGCATTTAAAGATGGCACAGTTCTGATTTAATTGAAGCTTCTGAAATTTCGAATATGGCAGGTTTAAATATTTTTTGAACCTGTCCTACGCCTTCAATTTTGAAACTAGAAAATGATTTCTTTATAATGCAATATATTTAAAAAATATTAGTAGCTTTCAGGTAATACTGAGTTGCTCGTGTGCATTTTACAAGAGAAAGGTTCAATGTTATTACAAATTATTATAGGCATGTGCTGCCTAAAATGAGAGGGGGCGAATGCACCCCCTAAAAATTGAACATTTTTTATTTGCAAATGATCTTTTACTTGTACAACAATAGGACAGACTCCTACTTGGCTGCATTTTATCTTGATAATTTCATCTACCTTTCAAAATGTTTTGCCATTTTGGATCAATTGAGGACTTTTTTTTTTATTTTTAAGAGTTTCTAAGTGGATATTTAGTTCACGTTGGCCATTTTCAGGAAGATTCGAAAATTGATCACACTTTCATGTCACACGAACTTATTTTATCCATCTGGTCATAACATATGACATGGGTCACATCATTTTTATATAATTCAGCACAATAATATAATTTAATGTAATAATGAACAAAACACACAATACAAACATTTTTAACAAGCAACTGTTTTCTTTCTTTGTTTCTTGTTCGGACAGAAGGCCTTTCAAGAACTTGAATATAATTTAATTAATAGTCACAATATGTTTTAGCACCATTACTAATTTTGGTAGTTTGTTTAGTTTGAAAGCATTTTGATTTTAATTAAATTATTTCTCTGGGTATCTACAAGCAACTGTTCAATCCAGTATACCCGAATTACCTTGAAAAAACTTTGCTAAGGCAACCAATGCTTATATATTCAATAATTAAATATCTAAACAAAACAAAATGTAGACATCTTAATAAGTCACAAAATTATGAAACTAGGCCCAATTAGGTAAGGAAAGAGAGGAGCTTCAAGTATTTTTACATCTATGAGGGTAATTACAAGCATTACATTTTATTAATTTCATTCATTCATTTTACATTTTTCATTCTCAACCTGTCATCAGTGCAGCTTATGGGACCATTTTTGAGATTTTTTAAAGAAATATTGAGACTTTATGCAAATTACCCCAAAGAAATCAAAATATCCGTTTCAAACTCTGAGTCCCGAGTTCGTTCACATTGAAGGAGGAATATCAATTTTGAAGAAAATCATCCAAACTGTTGAAAATTTGCGTCGTACGATTACAATTCTTTCTCTTTTCTACGTACGAAAGTACGAATAATTTTCATTTCGGAAACATTTGAATATGTATAGAATAAAATGAAGCCATTATTAGAACACTGCTCATTATTTTGAAACCCGGGAAGTTAAAATGCTAAAACTCACATGGCTGTTTTGAAAACTATTACGCTTCCTGACAATTCAGATTATACAGAAATGTTTAATGTTGCATGATCTATGTGTCTAATGAGTAAGATGAGAACATATGGATTCAGAGTTACTTTGAAATGTTTCTCGAAACCGCCTATCAAATTATAAAATAAACTAGTACATAATTTATGTGACATTAAAATAAAATGCCACAGAAAGCAAAAATACTGATTGAACGGCGATTTCTTAAATTTGATTTTTTTTAAAAGTAACATTAAATCCGTTGGCTCAGAAAAGGCGGGGACGATCCCGAAAAACGGAGACGAATGGTCACTCTAGACCAAACAGAGTTTCATATTACATAGAAGGGAACAATGAGAACATGTTCAGCAAGAAAATGTGCGAAATAACGCATACCGTATTTTTGTCCCGAGGCTCAGAAATCGTTATAAGCAGTCCTTGCCCTACTCGGGAAGAAAAAAGAAAACGTAATCGTGTTCAGTTTACGAGTTAGTGTGCTTTAAAGCAAAGTTTAATAATAATAATAATAATAATAATAATAATAAAACCAACAGATTGACAGGAGATTTTGAAACAAAGAAAAAGAACAAACACTTTTTCGGCACATAGGATGTCCCAAGTATAGATATTTTCGACCTCTTGGTGTAGATTTTTCTGTTATTATAATATCTTCGTCACACGAGTTATACGAGAAAAAATGCGAAAGTAGGAATATATCTTAACCAAGTAGCTGTAGTGCATATAGATGTAAATGGCCGCGATGGTAAGAAGACGGTAGTTAGAATGATGGCGTTGGTAGTTGCACGTCCCCAATTTTTCATTGAACAAAGTCAGGAGCTGAGTACACGGCTAAAATCTTGGTGTGATTTACGAATCTACGGAGTATTTCTTATTGCTTAACACATTAACGGAGAACGATATTTTTCTAGCATTAACAGTCCCGTAATAATCGGGGAGGAGGTGTGAGTGGAGATCCCCCCTATCTTTGCTTAGGCTACGTGTCAGTGAGTAATGGTTTAGGAAAGGAGTTCCTATTGCATCGTTTTTATTATTAAAATATTTCTTAATAATTGATGATTGTTTCGTCTTTCAATTCTTATCGGATGTTTATAAAACAAATCAAAACGTCACCATACGTGATCGCGTAGATGAAACTGCAGCCTTCTCTATCTGTCAAGACTGTAATAGCACATTGCGATTCTGTATTAGAATCTATTGATGTAGAGAACATTCGTATATTCAGAGCAACGTAGTTGTTGTTCAACAATATTAAAGTAATACTTCAATAAAACATCGTGTTTCCGCAGAAAGCAACGCAAGTATAGAACATGCTCAAAAAATGTATTTCATTACCAAACCTCAAAAACTTAAAATATTTACACACAAACTTTGAGAAAATGATTGCAAAATACCTTTAGAATTAAGTTCTTATCCTTTATAGAGTATCTGAGTAACTCGAGTGTGCGTTTGGGCGAATTTGCTGTTCCGTCACTCACGGTTAGACCACTTCCCGTTCACCAATCGAGACATGTGAGGTGCCATTCGAAGCGTCTCGGTCTCTTGATGGGGAACTGATCATTTGTTTTCGGATATGGCCATGAGATTCCAAGAAATTTCCGAAAACCTCTTTTTCGGGTACTGGCGCTGCGATCATGGTATGTCGGGAAATTTACCGAAAGGCGTTTTTCGAAGAGAATGACGAAGACAAAGACGAAGAGAGGGAGAGAGAGACGTAGGGAAAGACGTAGAGAAAAACGCAGAGAAAGATGTAGAAAAAGGCGAAGGGAACGACGTAGAAAAGGAGGTGGAGAAAGACGAAGAGAGAGAGAGAGAGAGAGAGAGAGAGAGAGAGAGAGAGACGTAGACATAGAGAGATTGACGTAGGGAAAGTCGTAAAGGAAAACGAAGAGAAATACATAGAGGAAGACGCAGAAGAATACAGAAGTTTTAGAAGACAAAGAATACGAAAATACAAAAATGCAGAATTTTCTTTCGCGGAAAATGAACTAAGTAAGTGTAGGACCTATTGAGTTGCCCGGATCAGACGGCCGGGGGTGCACGTCTCCCAGAAGTGCACAGCGGTGACCTCGAGCCGGTCGCTGCGCCTGGGCTGCGGGGATCAGCGTATGTCTTCAAAGAATTTCGAGAAAACGATAATTTTTATATGAGAAATCAGGATAGGCCAAGTGACGGGGAGATACAACAGAAAAATGCGTGTTTACTGACAATTTCGGGTGTTATTCGAATTTATTTTAAAAATATGTACGACAAATAGAAAGAAAACATTTTGAAATTGCATTTGACAAAGTCAATTTTATGAAACAATTGCATTATTGAAGTTCAGGAAAGCCAAAGCTATAATTCGTGCTCCATATCACAAAATAATTGCAAAACTTAAGTGGTTAGGTCGCAATGCTGACAAAACATCTGAACTGAATAAAGAGGGCTCTGAACTGATGAAAGAAAAAAAGAAAAGTCAAACAATCGAAGAAAGTTTAAAGCGTCGGCAACGCAACATTCAGCTGCTATAGTATGAGACATATTAGCTTAATAATATATAATTGGGTGAAAATCAGAACGGTATAAGTGACATTTTATAAATTCAGAGGAAAACATATTTTTAGACTACATTTCAGCAGCAATGTATTTTCGTGGTTTTAATGAACAATTGAAATTCCGTGGTTTTAATGATAAAAAGCACCACGACTCTACAGTAATATTGACTTAAATAAACATATTTCTGTGAATTTATAAAATGTCGCTTGTACCGTTCTGGTTTTCACCCATTCATACGTGTGTTACTCGCGCACGTTTTCTTGAGCCCCCATTTCCCTAGATGCGCGAAGAGTTGGGGTTGCTTATTTTTACGACGGGAATATTGTATCAAAACTGTAACTCGTTTTTCGACGCAGTTTCTATGATACGGGCCAACATTTTTAGTTATCATTAGCGCGCGTTGCTATCGTTTGTTTTTAATTCAACTAATATTAGTGAAAGAACGAGGGTAGGTATTATGTTCGCTTATAATAGTGTGAGCAAACTATCGTTATTTTTCTTTTTAACTATTTTGCATTTTATTCCACGGTTGTCAACCGTTGGACCCCCCTACTGGTATTTCAACGGCTACCCGAAATGCACTGGTATGCAACGTATGGTAACGTGGACCCGAAAACCTTTGCCGCCCGGATGGGCAATACACCACAGAGCCGGTGAGAGCGTAGGCTTCCGCGGCCGGAGTCAGTATTTACTTGGCTGTCCGGGTGACGCCGCGTCCTTGGCGAAGGTGCCGACGTTCTCGATCGCCAGCTGCGACGCTTCATTACGCTTGAGGAAGGTCGCAGAATGGGACGAATATCGTGCGGCACCTCGCCAATGGACGCGGCGGTCACCCGGACAGCCAGAGTAATAATACGCACAGAGAGCCGGCGATCGGCACAGCGTCGTGCGCAGCAGTGAACGTCGTTGCGAGCGGCGGAAAGGGCAGAGGTGGGACGCAGCTGCTCCTCCCCCCTCCGCCACGGCGTTGCCCTAGCGCCGCCCGTGCCCCCTCGGCGTATCCCCGGGGCTCGCTCCGCCGTCGACCGACAGCGTTTCCTCAGTCGCCGAGCATTTTCACGTCTGCCGTCTGACTGCCATGCCGCAGCGGCCTACTTGAGACGCGGCGACAAGACGATGCGGGTCTAGGAATGGGGAATTGCTGGGTGGGAATGGAAGCGACAGTTCTCTCTTTTTTAAAAAAAATCTGTGACGGGTTCACACTGAATGCATGTTTGCGAAAGGCAGTAATGAATTCAACCACTGTATGGAAAGAAGCGGCCGTTGCTCTGATCGGAAGTTTTCCGTGTTTCTTCCGATCAATACCAGCGAATCCCGGAGCTGTACTCAGACAGGCCACAAAGCGCCGCGCGATCTTCCCTTCTTCAACTTCTTCCTACTTTCCCCTCACACCCACCTTCAT